GGGGCCGACAGGCTTCCCTGTACTTGCTGGGTTTTGCTTCCCAGCAGTGGGAAGGAACCTCTCCCAGCAGGTGTGTCAGTAGCCCCTCGTCATGTGTGCGCTCGGCTGGCACCAAGGCCTCCAGGAGAGGAGGTGAAGCCAGGGCCCACCAGGGCCTCCAGCCTCATGCATGCAGTCGTGAGAACGAGGGAAGCTCACGGGTAGCTGCAAAGGTGGCCTCTACAGGGAGGGCAGATCCCTCATGCCATGCCCACGGGGGCCTTCCCTGCACTGGACCGGAGAGCCGCGCCCCTTCAGCCAGCTCCCAGGGAGCAAACTCAGCCAGAGAGGGTGTGATGGCTGGGCCGTCTCCGGAGGGTGGGGAGCGCCTGGCCCGGGTGGACTCGGTGCAGCAGGAAGCTGGGCTTTAAGAGAGCACACCACACAGGGGAGTACCTCGCTCTCCTGCTGGCGTCTGGGCTGCTGAGGGCTGAGCACATCCGGGCTCAGTGCTAGGGACACGATCCTCAAAGTCTCAGCCAATGATATCAGGAGGTCGGAAACGACATCTGACCATGGTTGAACCTCAACGGCTTTACAAGGGGACAGTGCACATGTATGTGATGCATCATGGACACACGTGTTCCCACCATGTCACCCAAGCCCATGTCACACCATTGGCAGTAGGAACCTCCAGGACCTCCCCTCTTGTTAAAGTAGCCTGCTTCAGGGTTTTCATTATAGTAACAACAACAACAACAACAACAACAAGATGGTTTGTACACGGCCACTTAGCTCTGGGAGTCTTCATTTTCTGGACATGGACACACAGTTCACTGCTTCCTAGAGAGATTCCTTGGGGATTCAGGTGGCCAAGAAGTCTGTGTGTCACCCAGCAGGTCTCAGTTGCTCAGAGCCAGGGTACTGCAGAGGGAATCGAGCCCTGATGGGAACTGCTCCTGTCACCCTTTAATTTCTTTTTTATTTATTTTTTTATTTGACAGATAGAATTAGACAGTGAGAGAAAGACAGAGAGAAAGGTCTTCCTTCCATTGGTTCACTCCCCAAATGGCTGCTACAGCTGGTACTGAGCCGATCTGAAGCCAGGAGCCAGGTTCTTCCTCCTGGTCTCCCATGCAGGTGCTGGGGCCCAAATACTTGGGCCATCCTCCACTGCCCTCCCGGGCCACAGCAGAGAGCTGGACAGGAAGAGGAGCAACCGGGACTAGAACCCTGTGCCCATATGGGGTGCCGGTGCTGCAGGCGGAGGATTAACCAAGTGAGCCATGGCGCCGGCCCAGACCCTTTTATTTCCTTTCTCTCCTCTTTGTCCTGGCCACAACCAAACACGAACCTTGGGGGTGGAACTGGAGAAGCCCCATAGAGTGTGGGCTGGGCAGCCCTGTAGAGCGTGGGCCCTTCCCTCTGGCCTTGCTCTCTTCCCGCCGGCTGCCCTGCTGCCCCAGGATAGATGGCTGCAGGCTGCGTTTTTGCCTCATTCTTGCTGAGTGATGGAATTTCTCCCGGAGCACCTGTTCCTTCAGAGATCGGTTCTCAACTCCTGCTGAGTCACCAGGCTCCTCACCCCTCCTGGAAATCCGGCAGCGGGGGGGTGGGGTGGGGGCGCTGGTGCTTCATTCTTAGACTGTGCCCCCACGCAAGGCTTGCTCAGGGTGGCCATGGCGTGTGCCAGGAATCACCAGGGGCAAGCATGTGGGCTCATCGTGGACAGGGACGGTGGCTCCTCCCTCCGGCCGCAGGAGGCAAGGCCCTTCTCCTTGGCGTCCTCTGCAAGTCTCCCCTCCCCCCACCCCCAACACAGGACCAAAATGAAAGGGGACTAAGAACTTGGAAGGAGGAAGGAGTCTACCTGGGCTGGTTCTTTCAGGATTCTCCCCCCAGTCCCGACATGCCCGAGACAGGTGGTAAGACCCCAATCTTAGTGTGTTGGGCCTGGGGGTGGGGGTGGGGGTAAGGAGTTTGCCCAAATCCCATAGGTAGTGTAGTATCACAGCCTGAGTTCAAACCCAGAGCAGGTCTCAGTCAACGTTTTAAAAGCTGCATTTTTCATTATGGGGAAATGCACATAATATAAAGCTTGCCATCTTCACCACGTTGAGCAGTTTGGCACCTGCACCACCATCTGTCTCCGGGTTGTTGTTTCAACGCCTTTCTCACAGCACGCAAGGCGAGGAAGCCAAGCTGATCGTCTGGGTCTACGAATCCAGCAGGGAGCGTGTCGAGTGGCCTGCTTATCTGGGGTGGGGTGCGAGTCTGGGGGGTCTGCGGGGAACCAGGGCTGTACTTGCCTGGAAACCTGCCTTGAGGATGGAGATGGTGAGGACGCCTCTGCTGCCACTGATTTTGCTCAAGGAGGCCACCTGCTGGCACAGAAAGACAATGCAACAAGTTAGTCTTCAAATGATGAACTGGGCATTTAGCATTGCGGATCAGAGGGCGGAACTGCAGGTTCTGTACCTGTACCCTATACCTCTGTCTGTCTCTTTCTCTGTCTCCGCCTCCCTTCCTCTCACTGCCTGAGGATGCTTGATGACACCTAGGGGCCATTCCCACTCAAACTTGCAGGCCTTGGCACGAACCTTGTTCAGGTCAGACCCGACTTGCTTGTTGTGGATAAAATGAGTTTGGAATCATAAGGAAAAACTAAGATAGAGCAAAGAACTTGATGGTTTAATAGCTGGAAGTTGAGTGCGAAAAACCCATGCTGGCTTAATTAATTTCACTTTTGAGACTAAGATAGGGTCACTTGGTTCCTGCTATTTCCCTCTCTCTCTCCCTCTCTCTCTATCTTAAAAAAGGTTTTTTATTTGAAAGAATGTCAGAGAGGGAGAGGCAGAGAGAGAGAGAGAGAGAAAGAGAAAGAGAGAGAGAGAGAGAGAGCGCCAAATGGCCACAACAGCCAGGACTGGGCCAAACTAGGAGCCAGGGCCCAGAAATCCACTTGGCCCATCACCTGCTGCCCTCCTGCGTGCATTAGCAGGGAGAGGTCTGAAGCGGAGCGGTGGGACTCGAACCAGCGCTCTGGTGTGGGGTGCAGCCTCGCAAGCAGCGACGTAGGCTCCTCACCACCGCGCCGACCCCGTGCTGTTGCTCATTTTGCCGACGTTCAGATCAACTGCTCCTCCTTGTGGTGTTGACGACCGGGTGGGGGCAGGGCTGAGTCTCCTCTTAGATCCCTGGCTCTTCCCTTGGTTTCTGTGGCTGCCCTCAAGGAGGGCTCGGGGGTTCCTTCTACCCCGACCTGGGGCTGGGTGGTGCCTACAGGGTTTCCCCGGAGTGCTCCCCTGGGCCTCGTCTCCCGTGTGTTCTCGTGATCTCTTGCACACCTGTCTGTGCCCGCCTTTTCTTTTCTCATGCGGGTACTGACCACGTTGGATGGGGCCCTTGATTGCTCCATGCCCAGTGCCACCCTGAGACGCTGGGCATTATGGACTTCGCTCAGTGTTATCTGGGGGGGGGGGACGCAGTTCAGCCTGCCGCTCTGAGGGCAGCAGAGCTGAGGCACGGTGGCAGGACGCGTGCAGTGCAGGAGGCTGGACCTGTCCCCCTCATGCTCAGCACCTGCTTTCTGGAGGCTGAGGCCGCACAGGGACATCGGCCTTGAGACGCTCTTGTCTCAGCTCACTGCTGTGTGAGCCCCTCTCACCCTCGCTGGGGCTCCCTGTCCCATCAAACCTCCATCCCGCCAAGGAGGACTCCGGGTCTCCAGTGATCTCTGGCTCCTCAGTGCTGGACACCAGCCGCTCTGGCTCAGGACTGTCCCCAACCCTGCCCCCCCCGGCAGACCCCAGCCGGCCTCCTTCTCCCAGAGGGCTTTCCCTCTCCAGGCGTGTTTCAATGCCACGGTGAAATTGTACCCCCATTTTGTAGCCTCTACCGATCAGCTGGCAGCCTGGATGGTCTCCTTGCAGACCAGGCTCTAAGTGGAGTGGAGCGGCCCCACGTTCCTCTGTCTGGGCACCCAGTTTTTCTCTTCCCCACCTTGGGTTTCTCTTTCCTCCGGGAGTTCTCAGCTTCCTGTCATCCTGGGACCATGGCTCCTTCATTTTCCAAGACGTATTCCTGGACCAGTTCTGTGATACCTTTAACCTGCCTTGTTTTTACTGCATGTAGATGTGTCTGCTTCTCCTACTGTCCTGGCCTTCCAGTTCATTTGTTTGGTTTGCAAACCAGGTTTTAGGAGCTGAATTCCAATTCCAATAATTCCTTTATTATTTCTGAAAATGCCCAGTAGCTGCTGACCATACTACAGGCTAAGGAGAGACCGGATCTACTGGGACTGTAGTGTGTGGGTGTGAGTGTGTGTGTGAATGTGTATGCATGTGTATTTGCATATATGTGCGTGTGCATGTGTGTGTGTGTGTGTTTGTGAGTGTGTATGTGTGTGTGTGTCTTGGGTCATCAGCTTACAAGCCACACTGTCTCTTCCTGCGTGCCTGTGGTATATCCTTCATATACAAACAGAAACAATGGCCAACACCAACACTCAAGGAACATTGGTTACAACTACCCTGTTCAGTCTGTGGCACACCCATCATTCAAGTAAAATGGTGAAAAATTGCCCACTGGCCAATACCATCTTTCTTCTTTCCCGGGAGAGCTTTTCCAAAGAGGAAAGCAAAGTGTAAGGAGGCCGTGGGGGTCATGACAGCTTAATCACGCCGCCCGGCCCCACTCCCACGATGCCCAGGCCTCAGTAGCCCCACGCTGAATATTTTCTTTAGGGTGTGGCGAAAGCCAACGAATTCTGCAAAATTGCAATGCTGGTTAAATTTCCTCTACTTTGGAATTTTCCTGATCTTCATTAAAAGCTCTTGATATATTAATTAACCTTATCATGACTTCCCATAACGAGCATTTCCCATTTCATTTGCGGTTTTGAAAATGCGCCACTGATTGTAGGAATTAAGTTTTCGTGTGAGTGCACACTGTGATACGGGGGGCAAGCCAAGGGTGGGATTTGGGTACCCTGACTCCTGACTTCACAGTCTGAATTCTGTAACTGCCCACTCCTCACCCTCACCCGTGCAGAACTGCCACTGCATGCCATGGCTTGTAAGAGTCCTCTTTAAGGGACTCAAGTTTTTTTTTTTTTTTTTTGCTTCTCTTCTGAAAAGAGGCTCAGAGAGGAAGGCGGGGCCGGGAGGATTCAGGTTATAAAGGCTTCCTCCTCCTCCTCCTGGTGGCAGAGAGACCAGCGGGCTGTTTGGGGCCCAGAGAATCCCTTCGGAGACACCGCCGCTTACAGGTACGTCCCCCACTTGCACCGTCTGTCTCTGTGAATGTGGCCGTGGCCATGACCGGTAGAATCCACATAGTGCAGCATCTCTGGGAAGGGCTTCCTTTAGTGTTCCTGTGGAGATCTGAAACCAAGGGAAGAAGACACATTTAAATTCCAAGAGACGAGAGCACAGGCAAAAGGCTGGCCCGTTTAGAAGCTGAGAATTCTGCACAGCCTTGGAGTGTCGTTGGTTTTCTTTTTCTGATGGACAGACTTAGCGACTTCCTCAAATGGGGCTCCTGGTGTCTCCGTCAATTCTGCGTCCTCGAATCTGTGGGGAATGTAGGGAAACAGGTCTTCCTTAAATCACGGCTATGGGGAAACCCAAGTCACATCTGGGATGAGCGCTTTCAGAAAGCCCGTGTTCTTGATGGGAACAAGAGACAGCGCATTTGAACTGTTTTTGCGAGATGCGGTTGCTTCATTTCTTTGAAGTTGTTGGAACACCCTCTTGGTTTGTATTATTTAGAAGCGAGGGAGAAAGAGCGAGGCTTGGATGAATAATTAAAGATTCTATTTCTATTTAATTTTGAATCCATTATTGCCAAAGCCGACTTTTTCGGTGTAAAAATTCTTGCGTCGGAAGTAAGGAACGGTGATTTCCTTAAATCTATTCCAGAGAGCTAGTATGCGTATATGGGGTGATTCTAAGAGTTTGTGGAGAAGAGGCAGTTCATGGATAAGCTTATTTTAGACGTGGAAACAGTTCTGGAAGGCGTGCTTGGTTGTTCCATGAGGTGCAGCTCCTGGAAATCCAGAGTGTGAAAGGAGCTGGCGTTCAAGTCATGACCTTGGGTGTAGGATTCTTTAAGACTGAGAACAAAGTCGCTATCTTCCTTTGTTATTTGTTCGTCTCGCCTGGCATCCAGGCAGCCAGTAGGACTGCAGGCACCAGGAGGCCTCCGGCCTCCCCTCTTCTCCCCTCCCGCCTCACCTCTGCTCTGCAGGGGCAACTTGGCATCGGCAACTTCCGGAGACTCTCCGTGGGCTCTCGCCGTGTCCCCTGGATTTTCCCATCCATCCAAGCGTCAGAAACGTGGCTGGCAGAGGCAACAAGAACAACAGGGGTGATACAACCTCCCAGCCTGCCCCCCCAGGAAGGCGCCCCAGGAACATCCTCTCTGTAGGAACCGAGCGGGCCACCCGCTCTACAGACACTGGGCAGAAAACCTTGGGAGGAATTCGACCGGTTCCGCACCCAGCAGAACCTCTGTCCAGGAGAAGAGGGGGTGTGTGGGGAGGAGACACATGGCGGGAAGACATGAACTCCACTCCTCTATAAGCCCCAGGCTGAGCAGAGCCTGTGCGCTCAGCCCCGTCCGGAGATGCCCGCCTGGCCTGCCGGGGTGTTCCCTGCTTCCACTGTGGGGCCAGGCGCTCTCAGATTCCTTCCTGCTGGATGCCCTGCCCCATTACACCTGGCTACCTTGCTCACCCCTGAAAACCACACCAAAGCAACAGGAGTGTGCCTGGGACAAAACCAGTCTCTGTTCTCCCCTAGTGGCCAGAGACCCTCCCAGGGGCACCACCCCTCCCCCGCTGTGCTCTGTCAGAGAATGGAGGCCTCTGGATGGGGGTCATTCATCTCTGGAGCCTTTGTCACACTCGCCATCCCAGTGAATAATTGATGGGAGGCGGCAGCGGAGCTGTCTGGGGCTTGGTGCCACCCTCGGTGCTCCGAGAAGAGAACCTTCCTCTCCTCCCTCCCTCCCTCCCCCTCCCTCCCCCTCCCTGTCTGGATTCCTTCCTCTCTTTCCTAAGATCGTAGTGTAACGTGCAGAGACTTAAACTAGAGAGCATGACCTTCATCGAGAAAGGGACCAGATAAGAGTTGTTTTGGTCACTGTGATAGACAAGCTAAAGGGCAGCTTTAAAAGCACGCCAAATGCCATTTTGTCTTCGGACAATAACTTAGCAGACCTTGTGTGTGTGTGTGTGTGTGTGTGTGTGTAGCTCGAAGGATGCCAGAGTATTCTGCAGTTACCGGGCGACTTCTTGAATATTTAAAATTATTCCTGAGAGGCACTAATAAAAATGACACCACTAGCCTGGCCTGCCTGCCGGGCGTATTCTGCCAGCCTCTCCCCCAGCCAACAAAATGAGGCTTCTTGTCTATTACTTAAATCTTGGTGCTCTATCACTGTAGTGACATTGACAATCTAGCGCTCCCCAGCGAGTTGTTAAAGGGCTGGCGTCACAGCTGGACTGCTTGGGTTTGCGTCCTGTGGCCTCTGCTTGCCAGCTCTGGGGCTGTGGGGGCTCTGTGTCCTGGTTTCCTTGTCTCTCTCATGGGGGAGGGGGGATGATAGTTCATGTTCCTGCTGGGAAGACAGAGAGAGCAGGTGCAGGACCAGAGCCAGGCGGGGCGTCCCGCGCACAGCAGCACTGCTGCGGAGGGTGGAGCTGCTGTGGGTGTGGACGGTGTTTCCTGTGCTCACAGGAGAGGTGGCCTCACTCAGAAACTCTGGCTGTGACTGCAAAGAGCAGTCGGCCGCAGTCGGCCGGCACTGAGCGCTGAGAACAGCCTGGGCACGTGGGGGTCCTGGTGTGGCCCTGACACCAGCACCTGGAACCTGGTGAGAGACGCAGACTCCGGGCTCCACCCCGCACCCGCGGAGCGCGGGACCCAGCTGTGTGGACAAGTCTGCAGAGTGAGCCTGTGGCGAGCACGCCTGGTTCCCGGGTGGGAACGGGAGAGCGTAGGTCCCTTGGCTTGGCGCTCTCATCCCGTCTGCGAGGTGCGTTAGTGAATCCTTCACCATCTCTGAGATTTGCACGTGGTGGATTCGTAGTGATCTGCCAGCTGGGTATCAGGACTCTCTAAGCATCAGCAGACTGTCGTCGTCTGTCTTTGAGCCAATAAGACTACTTCAGCGGCCGCTGCAGCTATGAAAGCAGAGGTCTCCCCGGCTGCACTGACCCATCCCAGAGGTGGCTGAGCCCTCAGGCGGCCCGGGCTGAAATCCCGTCCCTGGGGCCAGCCCTGGAGATGCAGCCGTGAGTTTCACTTCATGCTGCAGCCTCTCCTGGCATCGTCACGGAAACAGCCGCGCTCCCCGAGGCGCTGTGGGCGTCGCACGCCTGCACCAAGGGTACTTCCCATGGTGCAGCCCCCTGTTCTTTTGGCATGGCCATTTTTTCTGTTATTATTTTGAAATAATTATAGTTCTGCTGGAAGTTGAAAAAATAGTTCAGAGAGGTTCTGTGTACCCTTGGCCTGGCTGCCCCTCCCGTGGGCACGTCACACATAGCTACACTTGGGTTCAAGGTCAACACCAGGAAATCGACACAGGTGCCGTCCACAAGGTCATCGGTGCGTCCTGCTGTTGTGCAGTTGTCACGTGAGATCTGTGTGACCACAACCACCGACCCACTGCTTTCCAGGAAGGGCCCTGCTCCCCGCCCCTCCCCTGCCCCGTGCTGCCCCATCCTACCCATCCCCTACCCCCACCCCAGCTGCGGGTGTGTTGGCCTGCAGGTCGGGGCATGTGGGATTCCTGCCACTGACCGTGCTCATTGCGGGGCCACTGGTGAGATGGGTGTGGTTCCTGGCAGCCTCCCTGCAGCCCCTCAAACAGGCTCCCGGGTCCCTGGTGAGCCCCTTGCTTCCTCCGACTTTGCCCTCCCCTCACTCCCTCCTCTTTGGCTCCTTTGTCCGCGTGCTATTTTAGCAACTCTGAATCTTTGTGCACCAAGGGGAGCATAAAGCTTTAAACTGAAAACAGACAGGCAGCTCCACGCATCTGCTCTGTTTACAGTTGTCACCCTTCCCTTCCCCCTGCCTGCCTGGGTGCCTGGCCTGGGTGCCTGGCCTGGGTGCCTGGCCTGGGGTGGGTGCCTGGCCTGGGGTGGTTGCCTGGCCTGGCCTGGGGTGGTTGCCTGGCATGGCCTGGGGTGGATGCCTGGCCTGGGTGGGTGCCTGGCCTGAGTGGATACCTGGCCTGGGGTGGGTGCCTGGCCTGGCCTGGGTCGGTGCCTGGCCTGGGTGGGTACCTGGCCTGGGTGGGTACCTGGCCTGGGTGGGTGCCTGGCTTGGGTCAGTGCCTGGCCTGGCCTGGGGTGGGTACCTGGCCTGGGGTGGGTGCCTGGCCTGGGGTGGGTGCCTGGCCTGGCCTGGGGTGGTTGCCTGGCATGGCCTGGGGTGGATGCCTGGCCTGGGTGGGTGCCTGGCCTGGCCTGGGGTGGTTGCCTGGCCTGGGGTGGTTGCCTGGCCTGGCCTGGGGTGGTTGCCTGGCCTGGGGTGGGTACCTGGCCTGGGGTGGGTGCCTGGCCTGGCCTGGGTCGGTGCCTGGCCTGGGTGGGTACCTGGCCTGGGTGGGTACCTGGCCTGGGTGGGTGCCTGGCTTGGGTCAGTGCCTGGCCTGGCCTGGGGTGGGTACCTGGCCTGGGGTGGGTGCCTGGCCTGGGGTGGGTGCCTGGCCTGGCTTGGGTCGGTGCCTGGCCTGGGTGGGTACCTGGCCTGGGTGGGTGCCTGGCTTGGGTCAGTGCCTGGCCTGGCCTGGGGTGGGTACCTGGCCTGGGGTGGGTACCTGGCCTGGGGTGGGTGCCTGGCCTGGGGTGGGTGCCTGGCCTGGGGTGGGTGCCTGGCCTGGGTGGGTACCTGGCCTGGGGTGGGTGCCTGGCCTGGGCGATTTCCTTCCTCTTTTCTCACCTCTCCGAGGGTTCCCTGCTGTGATTTTCACAGGGAACAGACTGAGGACGCCATCCTAGATCACAATTTTTTCCTGTAAAAAAAAAATACAAATATTGCCCCAACTGCTTCTAGCTTATGGTGCTGGAGCAGAGCAGTTTGATGACTGAGTCCCCCCCCCCCCCCCCCAGTAACTTGTTCCCACCATGTTGTTTGTATGGTGTTCTGTTCGCTTTCATACGTGCACAGCATTGCACCAGGATATCTGCTCATTTTGCCTGACATCAGGTGGGTGAGGTTTTTGCTGCAAAGCCCCAAACCTTAGCTTAGCTCGGGA